CAACTAGGAGCAAAAAATGGATGTGTGCCAGCGACAGTGTATCCAAATGTAGGCAGAATCAACGTAAGGTAAGACTCTCAGTTCAGGTGGCTAGAGAAAAAGAAGCTTTACTAGGCAAGTCGTGTAGTGATCTCGTGCTGATATTTGTAGTGGATTGCGTTTCGTCAGATGGAACTTTGAGTACTGGGGGCATATGCAGAGCAGCATAAGTGAGTAGGGCTGGAAAAGAAAAGAAGCAAAAGAGCTGGTGAGTTGACGACCTAGAATGCATACACAATGCATTTAAACCTAATAAAGAAAGCAACAGACAGTAATGAGAAATAACACAAGCATCTGATCAAGACAATCCAAAAATATAAGTTAGAGGCAGACAGTTTGATCAGCCACAATGCTTCACCGTGTAGTGTCGGTGGACGTGTTAAGTCCATATGCCTTATTCTGGCTTCCGGACAGGCCAATCTACTCACTCGACTTCAGTCATATTTTGACCTTGTTAATTATCTGCTTATCAATCTAGACTGTTTTTATATGAGCGTATATGTGTGTGCTCTTATGGAGTTGGCTTACCTGCCATCTTCACTGAGAGTCGTTTCGCTTCGCTCAATTCCATTCAGCTCATATACAAAACATATGTATTCAAAATTCCATTCTCGTTATTTGACTTATTTAATTCCGTTATTAACTAACGTGATTTAAATTTCTGATTATATTCGATGGCGGGCGACATATACATTTCGTAGCAATCACTCAATAACAATCGTTCATACTATCTAATTGGAGTCAGATCTCTGGCCACTAAAACCGAGTGCCTTGAAATAGTTGGTGTCGATTAAAAATAGCATCAACAACACCAATTTTGAACGCCTAGAAAGCTACTTCTTTTAAAGAAAGTCTTACTACCAGATCTTCTTTATTACTTATTGTTGCAGACCTTACTATAAAAATGGAGTAGGTAGTCATCTATACTTATGAAGTGTCGAATTTCTGGAAAAGTATTCGTGGAACAATGATGGATAAATTCTTTCTACCGTCACTCAGTGGATTATTCACGCAAAGGAAGCAGGCCAGTACACAGTACTATCCAAAATACACAGTAATAATTCTACCAAAAGAATGAATTCCACTACTTTGTAAAAGTTTGTTTAAGGAGTGAATACTAAGTACATTAAATTGAATTTTTTAGTAAAATAGTGTACTGTAAAATAAATTTGGACTTCTGAAAACACAACAAATTATTTTTCAATGACGAAGCATTCCTAATCGATTAGGCACTTAGGCATCGATCAGCTGCTGTTGTTTAAGTGGGTACCTGACTCCCACCATTTTGATTGGCGTTTTAGTTTGAAGAAATGGCTAGGACGAAACAAACCGCAAGAAAGTCAACTGGTGGCAAAGCACCAAGAAAACAACTTGCAACCAAAGCTGCACGCAAGTCTGCACCATCAACGGGTGGTGTGAAAAAACCTCACCGTTATCGTCCAGGGACTGTTGCTTTGCGAGAAATCCGTCGTTATCAAAAGTCTACTGAATTACTGATACGAAAGTTGCCCTTTCAAAGATTAGTTCGCGAAATCGCTCAAGATTTTAAGACTGACTTACGTTTTCAGAGCGCTGCGGTTGGTGCTCTTCAAGAAGCAAGCGAGGCATATCTAGTTGGTCTGTTCGAAGATACAAACCTTTGTGCGATTCACGCTAAAAGGGTTACAATTATGCCAAAGGATATCCAGTTGGCTCGCCGTATTCGAGGAGAAAGAGCTTAAATGTTCATTTTAATAAATGTTAACTCACATAACCTCTTGTTCGTTTTATACTCAAATGGGGATCAAGATGTTTTCTGTTAATCAAAAGGATTCTTCATCTCGTCATTTTCTGAATACTTGGCTAACGTGACAGGAGTAAGAGCGCATCATCAAGATCTAGTGTAATAGTATGTCGGCTCTTTTTATATTTGAGACTTGGGGAGTATTTTGGGAGCTCCACCTATAGTGAAGCTAATTCGAAGCGGTCATAAATTAGTGAAGACAGAAGTAACCGTTGTTTGTGTACATGAAATCCCCCTATATAGTGGAAAGAATCTGGTCTTCTACGGCATTTATTACAAAGCGGGCGTTTATGTGGTCCGAGTACAGGTAGACGGTAGTAATTCACGTAGGTGGTTGTGTTTGTTGGTAAATGTCACGGCCAATGTTCATGTGTTCTATGCACCGCTACATAAGCGTAGTCAGGACATCCACAAAGTAGTTGCTCTACACAATATTGCGGCTTGATTGTCACGGGTTGTTGAAAGGTTAATAGGGTTTCCCCTTAATTGCAGTCAGTTTCGTCTTCACCTGTTGTTACTTTGGAACCGAATGCATAACTCGGTCAGCAGTAGCCGGGAACTTCGTGTCGAAATGAGTTCAGGGAGTTTCATGTTTGAGAGCTGGAACCCATCTGCGAACTTAACTGGACTACCAGGAATGAGATGTGGGCAGTCAAGGTAGATCATATTAAATCTTAAAAAACAAAAGGGGTTTGTCTGGTCCGTAGCCTCGCTTAGGTTCATCCAATGCGACACAGCTCATCATTTTATCGATGTAGGTGGTTTTTTATGTGCGTAGAAGGATCCAATTTTCGCAATGATACATAACTCAATATGCGGTTATGTGGTGGCAGTATTTTTCCTAAATTTCTTGGTATCATGCTAAAACAATATTACTGCGTCGTGCTGAGTGACTCATATATTCAAAACTTTAGTTCTTCACGGATTGTTACACTATTTAGCTTCTAGATCTGTATATTCAGTCATTAATACTAAACTTTTGTGAAGTATAAAACAATATAGAACCGACATTTTTGCGACGTGCTTGTTGAAATGTAGTTAATTTCTGAGAACAAACTAGTATTTACATGGAACTTAGTAGGAATCCGCCGATCCTCCTTTCGGTGTTATTGACACGGAATTAGATGTCACCCTCTCTAGTGAGCTCACTCGACATTGCCGAAAAATCATGCAAGCAAATAATTGCGTACGCCATCTCCATAGCACCTCCTTTCAAGAGTTTGGAAATTATTCGATAAAACAGTGGAGACGCTCGTCTCATGGTATTCAGGTGTGATAACGCAAACGATGGAAAACAGAAAAGACATATTAGAGAGGACAAGTATTATGCAATATGGTGAACTAAGTGGTAGGGACTAGGCAGTGTGGTACACAAATGATGTAATTATTTATAATTTGAGTCTATAATTAATAGCTTTACATTTACTCAGTGGTTGTTGACGGATTACAAAAATAGATGAATACGTAAAAGAATTGTACAACCAGGTACTAATTCACATATCCTATATTATCTATCCCAGGTGAAGTTACACATAACGATAGTCTCGATGATGAGCAATAATTACGGTATATAAGGACAGACCAGATCTTAGTCACGACCAAAGGATGCTTAAGTACATATACTGGTCGAAGAGTAGTACGAACTTATAAGTACCATTAACATTTACACGAGTGGTTATAATATTACCGACTAAATTAGCACTCTTCTCAGATAACTAAAATTCAAACAAGGTCGACAATTTAGCACCCACTTACATGCATGGTACTTGGCTGAGTAAAACTATGCCATCGAAAACGATCTTGGATCATACGAACACCACGACCTGAATATTTAGACGAGTAATTTCGGATGCGAATGCAAGGCGTAACTAGTGAGCCGTGATGTGTAATCTTGCATTTAGATATCGACGATATACTTAAATGAAGAGACCAGCTGGTCATTCTAGAATAAACAAGAAGGTTAAGCCACTTTGGTGAAAATATGAACGCTCAAGCAACATTATAGTGTTGTGGAGAACCACTATTGAGACTATGCAATAAATAGCGTATAGAATTCCTAGATGTACCTTACTCGCCATTTACATTTTTTAAGCGAATGAAGCTGAATAAACCCACTTGGTAAGCCTAACACTCCATAAATATATCCCCTAGTCCCCAATTAATAGAACTAAAGTGGCTGTTAAATCTAGCAATTACCACCACTATAGGCATTTCGATCTCATACATTAAGCTTGTTAATCGTATAAATATATGGTATTCAACACAATCGTTAGTGACCTTTGACAAGAACTAAGGGTTACTTTTGAAAGCATTATAAATACACTGTACTGTCCATTGTCTACAAAACTCATAAGGTTGTAAACATCATAATGTCAATGACAAACGTGATATGAAATTAGTCGCACATAGGAGAAAATGTTGGTTACGATGGGTGACTAGTCATTTGTAACCGCACTAGCGTCGAAATTTCGGAAACTGGGAAAACCATTACAACTTCCACTTAACGAGTGAGCTGTTGTATATATAAAAGATAAAAAAACATCCACAGATGGCTTCATAAACCTGCAAAACCTGACTAGTTATTTTGTACAAAGAAATGGATCTAGCTAAGCAATTAGCGAAACACGTGGGTTAAAAAACCTTATCTTGTTTATCATAAAAAAAATCAAAGCACAACGAAAAGATGTAAATTAAACAGCCAGCCTTGTGAATAAAAAACTATTAGAGTCGGATAATTAGAAAATCATACAATCCGTAGATGATCCATTTTAAGTTGGCGAATAGCTGCAAAAAGCGATAACTGAAAACAAGATTTTCACCGTATAAGCGAAAAGTATAGCTTTCATGTGCATCACATAAATACATCAAATGCCTTGACTAAATTTATGATTAATCCGGGACACGAAAAGAAACTGTCTACTCGTATAAAAATATTGCAACCGTAACTATCCAACAGTACAGATTAAACTTCACAACAGATTTGGTATTTTAAAGCCAGACAAGTATAGATACATAAAGACCGCTGAGGGAAAAACCAATACAGGGGTCTCGATAGAGAGAATTTGGAACAGTTTCATTGTACCAAAATGAGGATCTTAGGAAGGAAAGTTATAAATTTAGAAATATCATCCACTTGTCTATTATTAGCAAATCTGGCAAACAAACGGATGAAAATGAATTAGAAAGTGGAGTTTTCTGGTGGCTGAGCAAGTCTTGAATTTTCAGATGCAGACATTTTCTTACGGACATCCAGTAGCACATGACGTATGCAGTATCCACGAGTCCAGTTAGACAGAGTAGAGAACATTCGAGGATCAACCTAAAAAGTCAATACAAATATGAAAGTATATTACGGTTTTAACAGGCTTATAATCAAAAGATAACTATTGAATATGAAACTGGTTGTTGTGTATTTTCGATTTTGTGTCTATCCAACGTATCGACAGATCGCATATTTGTTTAAAAATGATTTCAGAACTATATGGGCTGTACACAATTTAACGAGTTGTATGTGAGGTGGTTTTTAATAACGATCGAACAGGAAAAATTGTTAAGATAAGATTTACTACGTTATCCTGAATTATTAGTTCATTCGGAAGCCCGTTTAAATAATTCATTTCAGTTAGTTATTATCACCTGACAACACTGCAAAATTATGTATCATTCATCTACCAATATCTCGTTCGTTAATTCAAACAAAAAAGTGCACTCACAACAAATCCAAACCTCGTCTCCTTAATAACATATCATACACACTAATTTTAAGATGAAATGTGAATTAACTAGTATCAATAACTTTATATTATATTATCTACAATCCCTAGTTATGTTAGGTTAGTATAATCTTTGGCAGCAATATAAGAATTCATACGCATTAACGACTAATGAGACTAAGATCACACACTTAATGCTTATACGTGTTCGGTTTTTTATTGGTAAGAAAATGGAGTGATTTTGGTGCTGCTGAATTCTCTGAACTAAGTGGCTTAATAGCAAAGTTTTCATTGTCGCTCTGGACAACATCATTAACGTTTAATCCATGTAGCAATGAGCTTCTTAGTTATTCCACAAGTCTTAAGTAAATTTGTCCTGATGACTCTGTGATTGGTTATTATCGTAGCAATACTTCGTGCCGTATTATCGTCATTATCTTTTAAAATACGGAAACTAACAGTATTGGTTATTATGAACAGAGGAGATAACTTTTTACAGCTTACATATTGTCAGAGTCAGGGATTAGAGAAATTACTAAATACTCAAACATATTTTTTAAGTCATGATTATTTCGATCCACGGATTTCATGAATTGACCATTTATGATGAAGGATAAAATACTATAGGGAATTTCGGTAATACAAGCTTGTTGGCAATATCAGGTGATAACGTTGTGTGGTAGTTTTGTAGGACTTGACTACGAAGATAACAAAAGTGAAGGTTCAGTCAATCAGTCGTAACGCAAAACCTGGTACGTATGGACATCAAGTCAAAGTTCTGTCCTATTAAAATCAACATTCTGAGGATAAAAATTAGTAGCTGAATTATTTATTTCTTTATTATTTAACACATAGGTATTGGTACAAGGAGGCACCAAATATATATGCGCCACACGAATCTCAATTGATTTGTGTGAGGGCTGTGATACTGCCCGGGTGCCCAAACCGAAGCAGGTGGTGGCATAGGCCGTATACGCATGGCCATGTGAGAGCATTTCGAGAGGGAGAGCGGACTCTCCCCACTCTCGGCGGTACCAGGGCATTTGGGGCAGTAGCTGAATTAATAACGGAGAAATGGATACAGCACATTAAATTTTCAAGGAGCTATTACATTCGACTAGGAATATTCTTTAATACAATAGATATTTTTTACTTAAAACGAAAACCAAACTTGATGGATGTATGTATAAACTTACTTCACCAGTGTTCTCGTTTACTCCGTGCATACGTATTTTGGTGACAAACCTAAATGAAAATAAAATGATTGTATTTTCTGTCCATAATTCAATTTGTTTGATAGAAAAAAACAGTACAATATACTACACGAACATAAAATAATTTGAATTACACCCAACAAACATATATGTGTACTTTAGAGTAGCAATAAAAGCTGCTGCGAAATTATAAAATGGTCACTATAATGGCAATCAACGAATGTCAACTTACCTAACTGTTGGAGGGATATCTGGATACTTTGGTCCACATTCGATCCGCAAATCGTAAATACGATTTTCAAAAGGAGTTCGAGTAGGACCTAGAATCATTCCGTTCCATTTGGTAAGTGTTGCATCAGCCATATTTTCTAATCCCCAACTGATACTACCTTCCTGAGACCCCTTTTGTCCTTGCTCGAGTTCATCAAGAAGATAAAAATTTCGTGGAACACAAACTGTAAATCCAAATAATAAAATAAAAAGCATAATTGACACCAAGTTTCACTAAACGTATTAAGTTACATAAGGATTGACATTAAAGCGAACTACAAACCACGAAAATTATGGTCAGAATACACAGTTTTGATTATATTCTGAAGACTTAGTCCACTTAATTAAGTATCTGATCCCGCAATCCAATCAAAGAATTTGCAAACCCATTTTATTTATACTAAGCAAACTTATGTTTTGATGCAGACTTGTTTTGTTTGGGACAACAAGGTATGAATAGACATAGAAAGAGATGGAGACATGTTCAAAAAGCAATGCGATGAACACCATGTATGCTTTATGCACCACGATAGAAAGTTTCTTTATATCAATAGACGTAAAAAGTGATTATATATTTATACGTTTTGTGAATAAGTTGGGGTCAGAAGTAAACACTATAGTATTGCCAATATACACTGCCGAAAACATTCATTAAGAGAGGATGTGATTACATGGGTAAAGAGGTTTAAATAAGTGAAAAATTAGGAGCTTTAATTCGACAAAAGAACAAACGACTAAATCATAGGCAAGGACTTATTGGTAGGCATCGCGAGAAAATTACTGCTTACTGGTGTTTACATGGAGTATTTATGTACATAGTCAATACCTAAATCATAACCGAGAGGTTAATTATGTTTTTTGTTTCTACACCACTATTTACTTGCTTCTGTTATACATTAAATCGATCTTACTGAAGCTTGCTAACCGTCTAAACTCTTCAGAGATATGATTTAAAATCTAGCCACTAGTGACTACTGAGGAAAAAGAAGGAACCTGGGGCGATTTATATAGACCAGACAAACAGCGAATGTGGTCTAACTGGGCTCAGCTACACTCCTCAGCAGTTACTTGTGCTGAAGAGGCTGAACAGTGATCTCCTGCAAAAAAAATGCAAAATTAATTGGTATACTACTATTTCAGGGCTGGTCAGTGTCAATCCAGAAGATGAGGCCGTGAACTTGCATAGGACGAGGTAGTTATGACCATCACCTGCTTCGACGCATCATGCTGACCGATATAGAAATAGCTGTGGAAGTGATTCCAAACAAAGTACTGCATGAATTTATGGAAATAAACAATACCATGTCCTATTACAAAATACGACAAAACTCTACAAGCATACTGTATGGAATGTGTCTTTGAAGTTAACAGCTATTAATTGGATGCAAAATAGAATGTACTAACACCAAACGGATATCGAAGGAGTGCTTGTTGAGAAGTATATTTATTGAATATTTCATTTCCGAAAATTTATTTGAACCAAATCACGTAAAGCTGATTGTCAGATTTACGGCATAGAGTGTGCTAAAGAATCAACATAGGATTGATTACCTGTCCAGAAAAACAACGTAACACGCTTGATATTCATTTGGACACTTCGTATATTGCCCTAAGGTTACAAGTCTGCACATGCCCTTAGCAACAGAAATGGTCAGAACAGTACAAATGCTTGGACAGGATTCTTACAAAACGCAACTGAGCAAACAAAAACATGACATACAATCAGAACTAGATCGTAAGAATAGGCTTGACCAAGAAAACTTTCCATGGATTTTTTTTTGTTAGCAAAAGGCAGGAAAACACAACATATGTCATGAGAAAAGCAGACTCCTTAACATATATTCGAGAAACCAGTGCGGAGCGACAATGCTATGCCACAAAAAGCTAACGGGACCTTGGCCAAAGTAAGAAGGTCATACATTTCTGCGTAACTGAGTTAAGGTGTTGAACTGATTTCCGGATTTTATTCTAGTAAAGTCCAACTTTGTTAACTCGATGACAGTCCAGCCAACCATTTAGAGTAGGATTACTAATTTGGCGTACCTAGTGACACATAAACACTGAGATTGAAATCGGTTAAACCCAAAAACCTGATTCAATGACCTTTAAGCCGTAAAAGTCGAAACACTAGGCAAAAATGTAATTGCAATTTTGAGACTAGACGCGTCAAATTGTGTTTGGATTTTATTCCATTAGGTAAGTTGAGATGACAATGAAATGGCGATAGTCAACATATAAAACTTCCTTCTCTATTTTAACATCTTGGAGATTATTTGAATACAATTGTAACTACAAAAAATCATCGAGGAGACCTTTTTCGCCCTTCGTCTCGTTATTTGGCGCTGCCATCCTATATACCGCTGTTGAACACATGTGATTTAAGAAAATAAGTTTAACAATAGATTCAAACCTAATAGTTTACAAACATTATGAGAGAGGCATCTGCTGAGAAAAAATGACCGAAATGCCTCTTTTTGTCAACAGAAAGGTGGGAATTCTTATCAAGCTTTATTTACTGATGAAGTATTCTTTGGAGGTTATCGTGGATTTCTGTGAATATTTCCATGTAAGGTTGTTTTGTTCTTATTCTTAAAAATTCAAAACTCTTCTCGGATTAGGAGATGCGACAAGTCTGAGGGTTTCAAGAAAGGCATAAGTGTCTCAGATACCCAGGCATCAGCATACCTATCTTCATTCTAAGTGAATTAGATATGCTTGAACTGTGACTTCCGGATGGCTTTTTCCGAGTGAGTGCTATGAAAAGACAAAAGCGACATTATTTTGAGGCTATCAATAGATGACCACTACAAGACAGCACATCGGTTGTTGTGATTGTTAGTGCATATATATGGTTAGGTATTCCTCGTAGTTGGATTGTGTACTGTTATTTATGTTTTGGAAACGTGATATCTTTCCGAGAGATTCTGACAGTAATTCTTTTACTTGATGGTCATCAACATTTGCAACCCATTGTTTTGAACAAAGACTGTTGAAACAAGATTTTCTAAGAGAACGTCAATTGATAAATTTGATGGTCGGTGATCTGAGATGGATTTGTATGATACTCAAAATAATGAAGCTGTTCATCTTGAGTGCAATTTGTTGCAGCCAACAAGTATTCTTTTGGCTAGGTAAGAAATTATTCAGTGGTAGTTAGGCGTTTCTGGAGAAACTCGAATTACTTAACTAGTTATAAGCTGTTGTTGCAAATATAAACCCTTTTAATATATATATATATATATATATATATATATATATATATATCTGGCAAGTACTCGAATCTCAATAGTCCTAGAGTTCGGGAATTCTGGTATGACGGACGATCTGCTGAGGTGTTGAAACCCCTAGCGTGATCAGGAATTGGTGCGTGATGCTGGATTAGTGTCTAGCTATATTACTTAAACAAAATAGCTGTAAACCTGTGTTTGTCTTTTGTAAGCCCTATCTCCAACCTACAGAAGAGTTTGCTCTTATGTGTGACCTTCACTTGTATTGTTTCCGACAATTTCGGATGACATGTTGGTGATCTATAAATGCTCATACCCGTCATGCCATTTTCCCTAAAAATTAGAGAGAAATACCCTTGTAACAAGCTAATGTACATCAGTTGACTGCCCCGTACCGTGTTCATGAATCAGGGTACTTTTTTTGGTCGTTGGTAAAGTCCGGTCGCTCAAATGAACAAGTCATAGTCAATTTGTCAGATATTTGAAGATGTTTTAATTATAAGTGAATGTATTTATTTCAGGCGAGTGTGGTCACTTGCCAGCATCTATGGCTTTGAGCACCCTTCAAGGAGTTGACACACTGGCAGTACTATCCATTATACGGCAGTGTTGAAATTTACTGACTTGACTCTCATACGTCACCTGTGGCTGAATATACATATGTAGAGGTATGTGTTTGGGTAGCAAAAACCAGGAGTATTTACTTACACATTAGTTCACATTATTACCGATTGTGTAGCGTCGTACATTGTTGGTGGTATTTTCATTCTTTTGATTTTCATCAGTAATTTTTTAACACTGCTTTTCCATGCTACTCTCCGACTGTGAAGTTTAGCAACCAGTTTTATCGTTCGTCATCATCAGAAGGAATCGGTGTCTCCTAGTTTAGCGATTAAACGTACTGATCAAATGAAAATTTCCCCAGGTGCAACTACGACATTTTCTAATAGTAAAACTGAACGTTTGTTGATAATTTGAGGTTCGTTGAAACCAAAGATCTTGATCACGTACTCTGATCAACCGGCTTTGCGTTATTTACAGCGACTATAAGAGTATTGATGTGTGTTTGGATGCGAAAGTTCTACCATACACAGATTCCAAATAGCGTCATATTTTAGTCTTCTTAAATTTGATGCTTACATTGCACACCGTATTAACTTACATTATGTCCACCATTTAGTTTGTTTGCAGTTGCTGATGCCCAACACATTGGTTTTGTCAAAGCTTTTGATATCCGTTTTCTATATATCAGTATACAGTTTGAATACTCAATTTTCTGTCAATTCAGAGTGTTATACCTTTGTCTGATGATCGATTGAACTAAGAAATGTTGTTATCAGTGACTGTACCTGTCTAAACAAATATTTTCCAGATTTATTTTATTTATTTCGTACCTAGATATACTTCTTAATACCGCCTCTACACTAGTTTGTACGTTTCTATACATCATTATTCGAAAGCTGTTGCCAACTATCGTCTTTCGATAAACTTGGACCAAATTTGCTAGAAATAATAAAGTTCTGGACGAAGTAGGGATACCGTATCTTGATGTTATATCCATTTTTCTGAGTCAACGAATGGGGGATGTATGATTTATCTGAATCAATATTCTTTCAAAACTTTTCACTGATTTCATTTATTTAATTACCTTTGTTATGTCCATAACTTATACGGTTCTGTGAATACGACTGCCAACTTTAGACACACAGACTTATACGACCAACAGATGTCTCCCATTCCTTGGCGAACGACCTAAAGTCACAATTGGTCCTTTTCCATACATATTAAGTTCAATCTCGGCCTCGGCTATATAAGTAATACATTTCAAATGTACTGGGTTTATATACAAACCAAACAGAACACATTACACCATAAATAGAACACAACATTTGTATACGATCAAACCAAAAGTTGATTGAAATTGTGGGAGACTGTCATTAATAAACTGAGCATAATAATGGTCTATAGATCAAAATGAAGCTTACAATAAGAGAAATATGAATGTATATAATTTAGTTACTGATAGGGTTGAAGCTTTCACTAGTTCACTTAATTTGCGAACGAGAACGAGATTCGATGACCAAGACCAGTAAACTAACTATTGACACGTCCCAGATCCGCTATCTAGAGAGAAAACACCAAGCTTAGAACGAAATTATATTCTGCAAAAACCAGAAAACCAGCGATTTTTTACAAAGAATTTAAAACGTATATATACAAATATGTATACATTGATTTTGCCATGGGGCTTTTAAACATTTAATCGATAGTTCGTCAATTGACTGCCACTGAAATATTTAAACATTTAATCGATAAATTCGTCAATCGGCTATGTGCGTGGGTGGTAAGAAATGTCCACGTATACATCTGCATACAAGCTCCACAAGATAAAATAACAAACTATGAGTTTTTGGGGATCTATCGTCCCCAACAGTTACTTAACAATTGTACAATGAAAATACATGCATATAATTAGTCCATTAGTGGATTCCAACAGTTACCATTCATAATTCTCGTCGGCATATAGCGATATTATCTAGATGGTATCTTATATGTGAACTCATGTTTTCAGTTATTGATCATGCCTGTAAAGACGGCGTGACTTGTTACAGATTATTATTGATCATAACATCATTCAGATATTTAAGTGCGCAAACGTATCTCTTCTTTCTGTCCTAATACGTACCAACCTAAATGAGCAACTTATTACGGTAAATCAAGTAACATTTATAAAATTTCATCCAACCTGTAAACTGGCATGCCTTCTGTAACATATTTTTATATGGAATTAAATTACTATTGCTCAGAAGGTGCGTTATAATGATGTTAATGAATCTATTGTTTTTATACCTGATAGCTTATGTGACGTGAACGTTGGCTTATATTCAAAGTCTAATGAGAGTAGTCATCTTTCATAATTCCTGGGCATGTTGCGAAACGTTTGTTAGAGATTTTGTATGTTATTTGAATTTTGGCACCGATCAAGGGGTGTTATAATCAGAAGCTGGACTACCCAAGGGCGTAAAGTCTGTGTTCTAATTTTTCAAATCTACTGCTCTTATAGGCCTGTCCTGACTGAAATTGACATCATGTATCATACCAAGCGACCACGTGTTTGATTTCGGCTTATCACCTACTCATACGAAGTCTACAGAACAAACGTTTGTCTCTTGTCCTTTCCAAATGTCTTGCAGATGTCGAACATTTCTATACCTGAGCACCAATTTCTAATTTTATTTTATTGTTCCCGCGTCCCCTATTGTGGGGTTTTTCTCCGCGTTAAATGTTGAATATTTGCTTTCCCGGTTGTCTCGTCTCAGATTTGAAGATTGTGTGACTGAAAGCCACTACACATCTCCAAATAAGAAACTTTAGTTAGGGTAGCATGAATACGAAATTTGATAATCTGTGGACTGTTTCTAAATGAGCTGCTCTTATTTCTGGATAAATAAACATAAAACCATATTAATTTTAGGCGCAACGTTCGATATTAGCAGCAAACGACCAAAAACGCGCCAACTCTAACGCAATTGAATAGAAAATTATTTATTTCTAACCGTCAGCTCGTGGTAGGTGCCATCGTATACTGCATCATTATGAAACTGGTTGTTCTGAATCCTATACAGCCTCCAGCCACTTTGTCTCTATGATTCCCTGTTTGAAAACTTTGTATCTAATTCCAAAGCTGGCTGGAACTTAAGTTAGCAATCTTTTTTAGTTGTTTACATTTAGAACCAACCCTTTTAATGTCTTACTTTAATCACCAGTGTAATGCGCCATTTGATTTTCCCCTTTTCCGTTTTGCTTCAGAATTTCAAGTTAGAGCATTTCCTGTGATGTAACCAGATGATTTTCGCAATGTATGTAGAAGCATCCGATAACAAACGTGGTGTGTTAGTGATTCAGTAGAAATGCAGAACCTAGAGACTTTCTTACAGCATTCTCTCATCGACATGATCACTCGACTATTAACGAACATACACAACAGCCCCATATACTCGCTATGGCATCGCGAAGGATACCCAATTTATCCACTAATGTTGTACAATTAATTTATAGGAGTTGGGATGAACGGTCTGCGTAAAGAACCCAGACAAGCCCACCTATTTTGTTAAGTAGTGG